TGTGAACTTCGTTCGCTCTAATAATGTGCGATCTTTTAGTCGCCACAAGGTATACAAATTCAAAATCGTGATATTGATTAAACTCTACTGCTCAGTCGTCAGATTCCTTTGAGAAGCGAAACGAAAGGAGCAAGAAACTGTAGGCGTTGCTCTTTGAAAATAAACATTTATACAGGCCTACCGCTTAACAGAGTTGATTCCAGAGGTAGCTGCGCGGTGCGGGTGGAGTGACAGCTTATGTAACACTTATGGCGCGCTGCACAGGGGTAATTTCAACAAGATTTTTGTGACGATATTCTATAACAAGTTAGATAGATAGATAAATGGTTTATCACAAAACACACACATGCGATGCAGATAAACAAAAGATAAAAAAATAAACGAAAAAACAATAGTACAAAAAAGTAACACTGCACAAATACAATAGAAGCATTAAAACAAGATATCATTATCTATAAATTAAAAAAAACAAAAGATCAAATAAAAAAATGACAAACACAGAAATGTGCAATGCATTGCAATAAAAGCTAGCAACGCATTGCATGTGTGCGATAACACGGCCGTAACTTAGCGTAATTACTATTTAATTAGAGCAACATAGTACTGATATTCTGCTACGCCCGAGATTAGCAAAAAAATTAAATAAGTTAATTGTAATAAGTGCCAAATGGCTAGTCTATTCATTTCAATTATCAATGAAATAGTTTTTTTGTATTATCGTTTCATGTAACAATAATTGAGTAATTTGTTAGGTACTTTTTTCAATCAACTTATTTAACATCCTCAGAAAAATCTTGTTCAAATTATCCCATGTGCAGTGCGACGTAACTGTTACATAAAGTGTCACTGCTCCCACATCGCGCAGCTTTTTTTTAATAACATCCAGTGACGGGCCGAACAAGTCGTGCGGCTGATGGTAAGCTACACGCCTGTCCATAACAGTTACAATGCCCTCAGAGCTTTAAATCGCAAAGATCTGAGGGGCACCACCGCTGCGCCCGTCACCCTGAGACATAAGTTAACAAGTCCCATGTGCCTGTAATTTCACAGCCACTTCAGGAACCGACTCAGTTAAGCAGTAGTCCTGCAATTTACTAGTTATTTCAAACGTCATTGATCGAGACAACCTGCAACAGCTAAACTTAGCTTTTAACAGCAGTAGAGCTCCTTGTGGAAGAGTTCGTCCAGGGAAGTACTGCCACCTTACCTATTTCTGTCGCCCTGCAGTAATTTTAGCGTTGCTGCGTTCCGGTTTTGAAGTGTGCTGGTGAAGTTACAGGCACTTGGGACTTGACAACTTATGTCTAAGTGTGACGGGCGCAGGGCCCCTCAAATCTTTGCGATTTATAGTTCCGAGTGGCGCCTCAACTGTTATGGACAGGCGTGTAGCTTACCGTCAGCTCGTCCCGTCACTTTATATTATCAAAAAAAAAAAACAGAACCGGATCACTACTACGGATTTTTGTCATCCAAGAAAAAGTGGAATTTATGTTAATAGCATCGAACACTAATTATTACACCTGATTTCAATAGGCGTCTCTAGAAGCAACTCACCGAATCCTCTGTGTGACCCTACAAGACAAATTCGCCCCGAAGCAAGACAAGGAGATCTCCACGAAAGACTTCGCCGACTTGGTCAAAGAGAAATCGCACCGCAGAGAAGTAAGCAGTAAGGAACTTTTCGAGATCTTAGATTTTCGCGTTTGTTATTATTGTATTTTTTTGTATTAACTTTGTTACGTAGTTGGTATACAAATATGAATACAAAGATCGAACAGTTACAAAAAAATCCTTCGATCCTGCCGGATTCGAACCGACGTCTTCTAGCAAACCGTATCAGACGCTATGCCAACTAAGCCACGGAACGATCCATCGGACCTCACGAATTTTTCTATGTGCTTGTTATCGGATCTTTGCACTTGGTTTTCAACGACTTTTAGCCGTAGCGCCTTCTATGAGAAATCTATGAAAGTATTTTCTTAGTTGGTATATTCCAATTTGTTTCAATTTATATATTCCTTTTAATAGTTAGCTTATATAATTATACACTCACCAAAATTACTACCACAATCATACCACAATAGTAAGGGCGCGTTCTCATTATGTCGTGACGACGGATAGTCGTGCAAATTAAAGTGTCGTGTCTTGTATATTTAAATTAAGTTGTTTACATATAATGCAACACGATTAACTGTCGTTCACGACTTTTTTGATGTGATGACGACAGACTCGTGACAATGATAAGAGCATGAACGACAGTCGTTTGACGATAAATAATATGTCACGATGAAAACGTGACGACAGATAATTGCAGCTACTATTGTCGTCACGTTTTAATTATCGTTGTCTGTACGTGGTCTGCTCCCTACTCTCCCCTATCGTCCCCCGCGCCCTCGCTGTACATCAAACGATCCTGTCAGGCAAACAACAAGTAGTCGTCACGATCCAGTGGGAATAACTAGACACGACAGTCGTTTAACGATAAAATAACGTCCACGACACAGTCACAACAGACAGTCGTGATATGAGAACAGGCTAAAAGCGACTGTCGTCTAACGATAAATAAAACATAGGAAATGAAACTATTTTTCCGGATTTAAATCGCGTATATTTGTTTTTTCAAACCAATTGACGTTTCGGGCCCTTTACAGGTACCGTGACCATGATACCTGTAAAGGGCCCGAAACGTCGGTTTGTTTGAAAATACAAACATAGGCGATTTAAATCGGGAAAAATAGTTTCATTTCCTATGTGTAACAATCGCGAAAACCTAAGAACTCGAGATAAATAAAACGTTACGACATAATGGGAACGTAGTTACGATTTTACGATCACTCTTTTAAACACGCTTTGTCACGATTTTAAATAGCTTCAAAATGCACATTGGTCGACAACATTTGTAAAGAAACTTTTTTCTATGTACAGCGCAAAATTCGAAGAATATTCTAAAGCGGTCACCAGAATGGTACGCAATGGCAGGCGAGAAACTGACAATAGTGACAAAGAGCCTCGTGACACTCGCGACACATGAGCACTACAAAGTGCGAAGAGAACTAGCCGTGCTCTTCTCTAGGATACTGAATGAGTGCTCTTTGTAAGTCCATATTTATTTTTTAATTGCCACCAAGTGACGGGACGAACAAGTCATGCGCCTGGTGGTAAGCGACGCGCCTGTCGCAGCTGTTGCGCAGTTGCAGAGCCGCTCAGACCTTTATAAAAGCAAAAAAGCAATCTCGGGATGCAGGCTTTAAGAAGTAGCTTATGTTTGTATATCTGTTCTGTGTATGTTTGGTATTATG